TAAATGCCAACAGAAAAAAAAACAGAGGGAGGAGTGTTACATAAGGGCCAAAACACAGCGCGCTGCTTGTCGAGGAATCTGATTTGAGGTGTCACTTCAGAGAATGCTCTTGTGTGCTGGCAGGAACGGCAGCCACTGCTGCATGCTCGTAGGCAGCTTTGTAAAGAAGCCAAAATGCTTATGTGCTGACAGGAAACCCCAGCGGCTCTGCCTGGTTGGGATCGCAAGCCCCAGGAGGAGTGAACGGTGGTTCCACCTTGTTCCTATCTTACTGGAAGAAGCAATAGACCAATGTTCAGCTTTGTCCAAATGCAGCTTTGTTTCTTCAATCCCAGATTCTCATAGGAGGGCTGCAGTGCAGGTTTACTGTCTTTCTCTCTTCTTGCCTTGCTCTCAAAATTGCATGTGCAAGCTGGCAGGTTTGGGTAGGTGTGGTGAGAAACCTTTAATTGGTTTAGTAGCTTTTGGTATACATAGCTTTTCTGGAGACAACATGCTATAAATGCCATCCATTTTTAAAGCAAGGCAGTTCTTCCTCGGTACAAATTACAGAGGTGTCGCCTCCCTTAGCAACAGGCTGAAGAGTGAGGTAGGTTTGTGGTATCAAGCTGTTAGCTGCAGCAGCAGAAGGCAGGGCCAGCTCTGAAGTAAGCTTTAATACTTTCAGGAACAGCTTCATTTGCTACACAGGTCTGTTTGCTGCAACAAAAGGCAGAATCTGTCACCACCTCCGGTATTTGTTTCTATCAGATAAAACACGTTACAGAAGCTCTTTTCCACGGCAGTGGGCTCTGTGCTGTCTCACTGCTCCCCTGGGCCTGCACCAGGCAGTGCTCTGGGATTATATAGGAAACATTTGTCAGCTCCATGGTTTGAAGGAGAAGCCTGGCTTTACAGTCATCATTTAGCTGTAGCAATGTCAGTGAATAAGGCAGTTTGAGGGAGGGACAGACTTCACTTGGCTGCTTGTTTTTTAAAGATGCTCACATGGGGTCCTCTGCTCACAGTAGGGAATGTTTCTGGTCCTTTGTATGTAGCTGAAACACGTTTCTTAAAGAGCAGAGTCCCTTCTTTTCTACTACATCACCTTTAGTGAGACTCTGCTTCCAAGCAGTGGCACTCACCCTATGCACATACATGTTTTGGTTCTTTCTTTTTAATCTAGGGGGAAGGACCTGAAGGAAAAGCATGAACAGAAAGTTTATGAGCGTGAAATGCAGCGCATCACACTGCCACTCTCAGCGTTCACCAATCCTGCTTGTGAGCTTGTGGATGAGAACACAATTGTGGTGCACACCAACCAGACGCCTGTGGAGGACACGCATGATGGCAGTGGCCCACTCATGGGGCAGGCGGGTACTCCTGGTGCCTGAGCAGCTCAGGCAGGAGTGATACAGGCTGAGCAAAGCCTCCAGCTTCCCGCTGTGAGTGTGGGGGTTGTGTGTGTTCATTTCTGTTTTGTTTTCTTTTTGATGAAAGCCAGATGAAGGTGATGCAGAGGGACAGAGCAATGGGCTATTCATCACGATCTGTTTGAGGAGCACCATTCAGTGCATGACCAGCTGGGGACTGGTGTGGTGGACCTTGCTGCTTCCTCCCACCTATCTCCGTGGCGTTACAAGGAGCTGGGGGGTATGATGGGCCAGGCTCACAACTGGCCACAGATCCCATAGTCCGGAGTGTGGTCTTGGCTTCCTCTTTTTCTGTTCCTTTCCTGTTTAACGGTGTGCACTGTTACTTAAGTTTCAGCCTGGAACCCCAGGAGGGAGCAGTACTGCAGGGACTGAGGGGAGCTTCACGTCAGACTTAGCTAGATAATTACACTCTGATTATAGTTCCTGCCTTTTTGCTTTAGTGGCTGAGAGCTGGAGACGCTGTCCAGAATCCTGCTGCTGGATCAGGGTTTTTTTTTTTCCCCAAGGAAGAGTATTTGAGGGATGGCTTTGGCCAGGAGCAGTATGTCTAGCCCCAGTGTCAATTTGAAAAAGCTCTTCTCAAGCTCTTGACAAATCCAGGTCTTCCAGGGCTGAGGCCACATCTCCATTCCCTTGTGGTGCTACATGCACAGCCACAGTTGTAGGTGTCCAGGTGGTCTGTGCTTCCTGCTCACTTACACAGATCAGGAGACCAGAGGCCAGCACTAGATAGTCATGGAGTGAAGAAAACAAAGTGCCCTTCAGTTACCTATAGCAGGTCGAGCACTGAGGACAGATACCATCCTCTTCCCGAATTCCCTTGGCTTTTTAGTGCCAGCTGCAGAAAGAGTGGCAGTGTGGCCGAGCCAGCTGGGGAGGTCACCCTGGCCATGATGCAGCAGCTCTTGCTCTAAGGGCAGGACAGGGTTGCTGCTCTTGCCAGATCCCAAAGTTACGGCATGGCTCCTGGCCCAGCCTCCTTCACACACACTCAGCTTGTGCAGCAAGACTTGCTTAGAGAACCTGGCCCTATTACAGAGATTTTTGTAACAACTTTTATTAGCATTTCAGGGGGTTTGGAAGGGATGGTTGCTGCAGTGTCTCCCAAATGGCACCAAGGCAAGGCCAGTTCAGGGAAACATCCGTCCCCGCCTCAGGGGATTCAAGCCATTCAAGTAAGTTTTCTAGCCATCTGCTTTAAAGCTGTGGGCCTAACAGGGAACAGCACGGGTTTTAGTGATGTTTCATTCAGAAAAGGGAAACAGTTTATTTTTAAAGGCCTTTGAATACCATTTCTTTGTAAAATGTTTTAAATACCTCATTATGAGAAGGTGCAAACTGTGCTACCTTGTATTAAAGCTTAAAGAAAAATGCTCTGTAGACTTGTTTGGACTGTGGCTTATCTGTATGTTCCCCCTGCCAGAGCAGCATCCTTTTGCTTGTTGCAGACTTTAAATTGAGGAGAAGGGAAGATGCTACTTCAGTTTGTCAGGCTCAAAGGTAAATCCCTACAAGCAATGTCTCCACTAGGGGCGTGGAGCTTGTCTCCTTACTGCCAGCAGCTAGTCTTGGACTGGGACACTGTTCCTGAAAAGCAGCTGTGGGTGTGTGAGCTGTGCTGACTAAGCAGGCTGGCCCGTGGGAAGATGCTCTCAGTTACAGCCCCTTCCTGCACTGACACAGGTCAGTTCTGCTTTGGTGCTGCTCAGCAGCAGCTCCATCCCTTGGGGCCTTGCATTGGAAAGCGTGATGGAGACCGAGCACAGCAGGTTACAGGAGGTACTGACATAGCTAGCATTTTTGTTCAGTTGTTGCCTTAATAAATGCCCCTTGAACTACATATTTCAGAATAAGAGGTTTCCAAGAACAGGCTGTATTTTTATCCTGGTTCAGAAAAGGAAAATGGAGAGAGGCTCTATGATCTGCTGACTCCCGTCTACCCTTAAAAAAAGCCACCAAAAACCACCAACAAAACTCCAACACAAAAACAACCAACCAACCAAGCTTGACAAGTTCTTCCCTTTCCATCACTCCAGGTATGTAGTACTATAGAGCACTCACACTGCGCTTTTGTAGTTCTGTAAACATGTCAGAGCTCTTTGGCTCAAGAAAGGGAGTTCTAGATACTCATCTGTGCAGTTTTGATGTTGCTGTTGTGTGGCAATAGAAACCTGAGAAAGTTAGAGTTTCCTGCTTTTATGTAACAGAGAGGCAACACAATCTTGTTTTCATAGCATACATTTACTGCTTTTTAATTTAGTTAGAACATGGAGCTGTGCAAATCACAGTTCATAAACCCCACCCACACATCACCCAGGACTCTCCCCTTCAGGGGTCCCCTCACAAACCAGCCTGGGAGGGGGAAAGAAAGGGCAAATCCTATTAACAGTCCTGAATCCACTGGACCCAGTTTAGAGAGGCTCCTCCACAGGAAGTCCCCAGTGTTTCTAAAATATCACTACACAGACTAAAAACACCACCCCATGCCCCCCCCGCTTTTGTCAGGTGATGGCTGGTCCCATGTTATTTTACATAATACTTTAAATTCATGGGTAGGGGGAAGAAATCAAAGTAACAGCAAAGACTAACACCAACTCCCCACCATTCAATACTGAAGGAAGGGATGGGGCGAGAAAGGAACACGATAAAAATCCAGTTAAACCAAGATGTTTGTGAAACTTAAGAGCAGGACTTGAGCCAGCTTTTTGTTCAATTCTGCCAACCACATGAGCTACTACAGCAGTAGCTTGCTTCCTTCTCCCACTGAGGGAGGAAGAAGAGAAGTGCTGGAAGAAAATACACCCCTACCCACCTCCCAATGACTCCAAGCCCTTTTTTTTCCCCAAAAGCAGGGAATGACCCTGAGGAAAGCTTCTGCTTGGAGAATCAGCTCAGGTGCTGCAGCAGCAAGAAGGACCTTCAAAGGGAGCAACTTGCACAGCCTGCAGGAAAGGATGAGGTAATGGCAACTGAAATACTAGTTCTGCAGCTGCCACTCCTGGGAGGATGGGACATTCTCCAGCACTTTTCTGTTCATGATAAGTCCATCCTTTAAGTAGCCTTTGCTATTGTCCATGTACGGAGTCTGAGCCACTTCAGACTTTTGGCTTTCTGAAGAGCACCTTCTGCCACCCTTTCTACCACCTCACATCCACAGGCCAAGAGCTCAAGCAGCTTCAGCACTCCAGGGATGTCTGCTGCTAGTGCCTAGTGCAGTTCTACACAGTCAGGTTCAAATACTCTCACCTAGGTTAAGGTTCTTGGGCAGACAAACTCACTGTGCAGGCTCTGGGTCTGAAGATGCTCAAGTGGCTCAATGGCTGCCTGCCTTGTTCACCATCAGAAGGGGCAAGCAGAGCTCAGTCTTAGTGTTTCTAGCCAGGCTTTTGGAGGTATTCAGAGACGGAGGAGGAAAAACCCACAAAACCAAACCAAAACAAAAATTCATACACACTTCTCCACAGACAAGGTATCTCAGTAGAGCTGCTCATTCCTGGGGCTTTTCACTCCCTCCCCTGATGCACACTGGAGGCCAAAATCTCAGTGGGTTGTTTTGGAAAACGCATGCACAAACATACACACACACGCTGTCCTGGTGGGGCCTTTTGCTGGATGTTCAGTTTCCCCAGCTTTCTGAGCAGGGCAGTCAGTGGGAGAAGCAGTTCCAGAAGTGCTGGTCCTTGCCCAGGAGAGTATCCTATACCAATTCCCTCCCTGGCAGATGGGCCAGGGTGGCTTCACAGCTTGCAGCCAAGTTCTAAGGCACCACAGTAAAGAAGCCTGAAAAGGCCAGAGAAACATTTCTCAAGCCAGAAAAATAGTGTTGAGCAGCTTTCCTAGGTGCAGTTGGCAGGAAACAGCCCTTTTTGCTTCTGAAACATGCCAGAAATCCACAGTGAATCAGGATGTCCACAAGGAGAGGTGTTGGGTGGGGAGAGAGAGGCAGTGCAGCAAACGCACACCGTGGTGCCCCATTAATGCCCTGGAAGTGGCTGAAGTGCATCTCCCTCCCTGTCACTCAACTCCAATGGAAGTGGTGCAGGCAGCAGGACAAGCTGACTAGGTTGCGTTTTCAGGTAGTTTGTCACGGTTCAGTCCATACTGCACACTCACGTTGTGGTCCAGCTCCTCCAGCTCAGATGGAAGGGGGATGGCAAGTTCTCCCAGGTAGAGAGAGAGCGCTTCAAAGGAATCTTCCAGCTTGGAAAAAGGGGGCCTAGAAGCAGCAGTGAGGAAATGCGAGTGAGAAAGAGGAAACAGAACAGCATCCAGAAAGGCTGGGCTAGTTGTTCATCTGGGCTACTATCCCGTGCACAGAGGTGGAGCAGGGACACGATCCCTCCCCATTCAGTTTCCAAGACTGCAAAGATCCCATCTGTCTGGGCTACCTGATTTTATGGCCAATGACCAGGGAAGTCTGGCTCTTTTGGAACCCACTAAGCATCAACACTGTTCTGAAACTATAAGTTTCACAACTGAAATCAAATGAAATATTCACATTTCAGAGCTGCTGCCAAGGTCTGCCCCTACTTTTTGTACATGAGAAACCCTGAACAATCACTCCTCCTTTACCCTGTCTTGGAAATTGTTTCAGAGACCTCTAGCATATAAAGTGGTCTCTTTCCCACATTGATGAGTCTTTAGTCTTTCCTCATGTGGAAGCCTTTGAGCATTCCCACAGAAAGTTGGAATATAGCCCTCTACCACCCTCTGTGCAGAGCAGTCCTTCCACCAAGGGGATACAGACACATCCTCCAGACTTACAAAGAGGAGTTCTCCAGACCCCAAACCTACCTGCTCTCTGGTTCCAGTCTGCAACAAATGGCAGCCAGAGGGAAGAAGGCTGGAGGACAGTCAGCAGGAACAAACTTCTCCCAGAACAGCTTGACATTAAGGCCAAAATCCAGTGTGCGTGGGAGGCAGTCGGGGTCAGCATAAACCTGGCCTATGATCTAGGGAAAAATGAGAGCAGCGCTTAAGTACAGCAACAGTTCCCAAGTGTTAACAAACAGGGAACATTAGCATCGGGCAGAGGGTCCTTCAAAGTATTTGGGTGAAAGGGCAAGAGCAGAAACACTGTTCCTCCTTTCTAATGGGGCTAGCTGCACAAGGGAACAAGCAAGGCACTGCATACAGACAAACTTCACATGAAGCTTTTTCAAGACCTGGCCACGTGGCTGCTGTTGTGAAGGAAGGCCCAGACATCTTCTCTTTCTCACCAGGCTTCCTCTGCTAGAAGATATAGGATGATGTGCGCCACCCAGAGAGCTTGACACAGTCTTGCTGCTCAATCAGCTACTGTGCTGTATGCTGCTGGGGATGATGCAGCCCCTCCTCATCGCAGGTAATCAACACAACCTGCATCACTATCCCACCTCTCCCCTCTCACAATCCTACCACACCACCAGCAAAGCTCCTGTGTCTATGGAGTTGGTCCGAAACGATGCTGTGAAGTCCACAGCACCACAAATTCTGAGTTGCTCTGTTACGGACAGATTCAACCCCACCCACAGCCAGAGAGTAGGGGTGGAGAGAAGAACAACCATAACCAGTGTGCAGGAGGTTGCAGACAAGAGCTGGCAGAGAAAAGGGCTGGGTGGAACAGAGAGAAGCCCCGCCCCAGCACTGCAATTCCCAGCACTCACCACCTCCAGCACTAGGGGACTCAAAGTGTAATAAGAAGGAAGGAAACCACAGTGGAGAGCCATGGGGTGATCTGGACTCAGACAAGGTCAATGTCAATACAAACTCTCACATGGGGAGGAATATTATGTTTAAAGCCTCATTGGATATCACAAAAAGGGTGTTATTTATAACCACCCAGGCTTTTCTATGCCAATAACTCAGCAGGACAACCACATCCTGTAACTAGACAGTGGAACGCCCATTATGTATTTTGGCAGTTATTTCCTTATCTGTTTCAGTGTATAACTTCTTTTTTTAGCATCTTTATTTTGGTGACAAGGAAAATGTTCATATGCTACTACCCCTTTATTTTAGATGAAACAATTATTTTACTCCCGCATACAGATTTTTCAAGTTCCTAAATCTATCACAACCACAACATTCTCTGAGAGGAGGTCCCCATGTAAACAGAGCTCCAGATGAGGCCACAAAGATTTATGCACAGATATTTTCTTTGTTCCCTTCATCCAAACACTGAAGATGAAACTGTGCTGGTCTCCCCTGGTGTTCCTGCTGTGTTATGCGTACACGTAACACCCCACCTTTCATCTGTATTTCCACTAACACACCTTTTAAACTGAAAATACCTTGCAGCTTTTGAGTGGTGCTCTTTGCTCTGCAGACAGAAAAGCCTGATATAACAGTAAGACTGTGCATTGGCTTAGAGACAAACTAAGCCAACAGACTTCAGGATACAAGCTTCATTAATTGACCTGCAAAGAGGTTTCAGTTTCTCATTCTTTGAAGTGCCATCCACAGTGGAGGCCACGAATCTGCTGAGATTATACAGCTGATTGTTCTTTTAATGAGGCAGTAGAACAAGAAAAAAGTATCACAGGTTTAGGGAATATGTCTACTTTCAAATGGATACCAGGGCTCAATCAGAACTTGATGAATTTTTTTTACAGGTTCTCTCAGTCCAGGAAGAACCTCTGTATTTCCTTCGGTCCAAGAAGAAACTCTCTCTGGGACCAAAATGTTAGAAGACAGTTATCTTCCTTGAGGGAACAGGGGCAGGGTAAGCTTGTACTTCCAGCCTGTGGAGCCCCACTGTGCTGTTAGGTCACAGACTGCACACTCAGACACAGAAAACTGACTGATAAAATGTGTGCAAGAAGATGGCAATGGGGAAGAAGTCCACCAAAGATGCCATGTAATGTCCTCATCTTACCTCACAGAGAACGATCCCAAATGAAAAAATGTCCACTGTCTCATCGTAGCTCTGTCCTGCAGGAAACATAAGACATTCAGCTCAGAGAGAGACAGTTCCCCATCCAGCTATTCCAGGAGCTGCCAGTCCAAAGCTTAACTAAACCTATTCTCTGGAGGGCTCTAAAACAAGGGACAAAGCAAGGCTTAAATCTGAGCAGGGTCAGTTGCCCCAGGATATGTATACCAACCACATCTTCCTATACGCTGCTATCACATATTTTAACCCTGCTTCTTTCTTCTACTGGGGAAGTAATTAAAGGACAACACAGGGAAGCCCTGTATATCAGAGGTTTGAGCAAATGCTAAGGATAACTATGGATGGCTTCTGCCCATTTCCATTGATTGCTGTTCTAGTGTGTCTCTACAGTGCGCTGAGTCAGTGTTCAGCTTTCCCAGCAGCCAGCGAGTGCCCAGTCCCTGCTGCAGTGACTGCAGAGATAATAAATTACACATTAGCAGCACTTTGAATCTGGGAAAGCAGACTGGCTCCAGCATGCCATTATCAGCTTACAGACACGCCCCTCCCAAGCCAGTATCTGGTAAACAGCCTTGCTTTCAGAGGTGATGTCAGACTACACTCTTGCTGTTCTCTTGACAAATGCCAGGTCTGAGACAGGCTCTGAGAAGCCGCCTCAAACTCCAGTAGGGCCTGTAAGCCTTGAGAGAAGGAAAACAGAACAGCACACAAGAAAGCAACGTGGAGAAGAGTTCAGTTTGAGGAGAGGAGCCAAGTCCTCCCTTCCCTGGTGGACTATGTTGGCCAATACTGATATCATAGCCAGCCAAACTGCCCGACCTGGTCAGACTGACCTGCTCATTAGGAGGAAACTGTATTTCACAGTGTATTAGGAGGAAACATTGTATTTCACCCTCACCTCAACTTCTGCAGGGGCAGTTTTTCCCCTAAGGGACATAGTTAATCCTTAATGCAATTGAGGGCTGCATGCCAAAAAGCAGAGTTCCTTGCACTTGGACAACTCCTACCCCAATCCTGAGGCTTTAGCAAACCTGGCAGCAGATGGCTTCTCCCTGGATCTACACAACAGCACATGTAAGTCTCATCCTGGAGTTTAATGATTCCTTGTCTCAAGGGCAGTTCCAAAGCATGACAGAAACTAATCTCAAGTTCAGTCTTATTTCAGGCCTCTTTTGTGTTCCCTGGTATCGGGATCATAGCAAGTTTAGGTCTGTTGCTGTCCCGAAGAATCCTGCTGTCAAGCCAGAAACATTACCTCGGCTGGTACAAAGGCTTATCAGGTCAGGTACTGCAAGAGGAGTGCAGCTAGGGTATCTGTGTGTATAAATAAGCTTGCATATTAGCAGGTCTAAAACCACAGGCTCTAATCGGTTTGATTGTTACTAGGGCCCAGAAGCTTTCAGTAATCCTATCATCCCTATACCTTGTCAAAGGCTGTCTCCTCACCTGCACCCTGGTATCAGTATCTTACCATTTAGCATCTCTGGGGCCATCCAGTATGGGTTGCCAACCACTGTGTAACGCTTCTTCCTGTCACTCTTGCGTAGGGTTCGTTTCTTGGCAGATGGCTTCTCCAAAGTGGGCTTTTTTCTTTCCTCCACAATCAGCCGAGACAGACCGAAGTCAGCCACCACCACCGTCTTATCCTACACAAGGGATTTAGTGCAAGCCATGATTCCTTGCAGCTCCCTTCAGGAGCAAAGAGGCTGCAACTACTGTTCACTATCAACTACACTGTAAGGGCAATTATCAAGGTTTCCTGCGGCCAGATGAGCATAGCAAGCTGTCTAGACAGGTGTAAGACACCCAATTCACAATCACCCAACTCATCATTTCCTCTCTTTATTGTCTTATTTCCTGTATGGTCACTAACACTAATCCCATCAATTTATTTTGCTACACTTGCCAGGGCAAACCTGGACCTTTCCTTTCAGACCTTCCTATTCTACCTGACCGGGAATTACTGAAGACTTTCATCCTGGGTCATTTGAAGCCTACATGCTAATCTCATATTCCAGCCAAGTGAATAAGGGTAAGGCTCGAGGGAATGAAGCTACACAAAAATCTTGTGACCTAGCATTTCAAAAAGAGAGAGCACACACCCACGCACTTGTCTGAATTCTGAGTGCTGATAAAGAAAAGTCATCAAGTGGTTGAAAGAACAGAAGCAGCTGTAGAGAACATTTTATAGTTGAAATAAAGAATAGATCTGTACTAACTCTCGTAACGTGACTGTTAATAGGAGATGCTACCACAGGAAAGGGGGTAAGAGAACAGAATGAAGAAATGGTGAAAGCTAGATCAGTCTGGAAAATCCTGTGTGAAGATGAAGCTCCCTTGTTTAGGGCACATAGAGCCTCTCTGAAAGTTCTGCCCTGACAAAAGAGGGAACATTATGTGGAGAAAACCAAGGGAGAAAGATGACAAGGAAGGGAGCAGCATGCTGTGGGGAACAGAGGTGTAGCTCACCAACTTGATTAGGCAATTGTGTGAATTCAGGTCTCTGTGAATGATGCACATGGAGTGCAAGTAAGCCTGGAAACAGAGGGAGAAAACTTGATGTTAGGGGTTCCCAGGCAAGCAGGTCCTTTCACATTTACAGACCTCAATAACCCATTGCTAGTAGTCAGGGAGCATCCACAACCCCTCATATACCACCCTGCTGAAGCAGCTAACCCTGACCCTGGAGGTTTGCTTTGTGATGAAGGGACAGTGGGACTCACCATTCCAGAGGCAATTCCTTTGGCAAAGCTGACCTTCTGCTGCCAGGGAAATGGATCCTGAAAGACAAGTCCTCAATGGTCAGGGACTATCTTACCAGCCAGCTGGTGACAGAAATTCCTCTGCAACAGGGACTCTTGCAGCAGTCAGAGAAAGATGATACAGCCCCAGGAAGAAGATGCTTCCTGCCTCAGGCCACCCACAGCTACGAAGCAGCTTTTCCACACAGCTCCAAAGGAGAAGACTAACGACAAGCACCGTAACACTGGTACAACCAACAACACCCAGCCTCATTGAGTAGAGACCCACCAGGCTTCCACACTCACCGCATTGCGGAGGAAGTCCTTCAGGGTGCCCCCCTCAATGTACTCAGTGAGGAGATTCAACTTCTTGTCCTTGTACAGTACACCGATGAACTTCAGCACATTGGGGTGATCCAGGCTGCGCATCACTTTCACCTGGGAAGCAGAGACATCCCACCCCGGAGAAGAGAATGGAACAAGTCCTGATGGATCCTCTCTATGGTGACAAGCACTCCAATGCTGGAGGTCCCCTCCAGGGATCAAGGAGTACACTCAAACCCCAACCTTAAGGCAGTCAATTAACTGTTGCCTCTTCATTATCACGCTTTGCAATTAACCTGATCTTAGTCTTTAAGAAGAGCACTCTTAAGTTTGGCTAACTTTGAAGAGACAGCTGCCCTAGAGAGCTCCTATCTGGTCTGTATTCCATATGTCAGGGCTGGAATAGCAGCATCAGGTGTTTAGGGAGCTGCCTTCAAGCTAAATTTGACTTTGAAAAACATGCAGGCAGCCACCAAGAAAACAGTTTAGCTTAAATACAGCAGGAGTCATACAGATATTGGCCCTCATAATTTGTACTTATGCACAAGGCTCAAGGGATAAATCCTTTATGTATTGCACAGCTCAATTTGCCTCAGGCTGCTTTTTATCATTGAAAAATTAATGAACTGGGAGCTGAAGCCACGTCTATTGCTCAGTGTAACTGAGTCACACTTCACTGCAGCAAACACTCAGCTCGTGTCAGCTTTTCCCCATGTAATGTCTCCCTCCTCAGCGCCTTGATGCTTGCCAGGTTGCTGGCATGATCACTCACTCTCTGGAGAAGATGGAAGAGAGTTCCACCACACTACTGGCTCAGAAGCTTTTTGAAATCTTGCTCTTACCTCTGTCAAGAAAGTCTTCTGTGTTTCCTCATCACAGCGAATCAGCTCCTTCATCACCATCACCTTTCCTGTTGCTTTGTGAGTCACCTGGTGGAAATACAAACCACAACTACAGGCACAGTTCAAGAATACATAGCTCCAATGCTCTTGCAACTCTTCTGAAAGAGACGGTAACATTTGCCACCATCCAGAGGGGAATATAGATGGGAGAAACAGAGCCCAGGGATCTGCAGAAAATTGCATAAGATTTCTCCTTTCAGAATTCAACAAAGATTCTGTTTCATGTAACAGAAACTACCTAAAGCTGACAGGGGAACATACCAAGAGATCAACAGTATCCCAAGAACCAGACCTGAAGTCTCCATTTTAGGTAGCATAGGGCTGAGCACACATACGGGCTGTCAAAGCCTCTGAAGGCATCAGTTCTGTACTTGTGCATGCCTCAAGTTCCCTTACAGAAAGGACTTGCCCAGCGTGATGCTCACATAACTACATTCTGTATCAGCAAAGGAAATCGACATTCACTTGCATCAGAAACCAAACCAAACCCAAAACTACATTACTACATGCTTTGGTTTTACAGGGACTCTAAAGCCTGATGGTTTCTGATGAGCTTATCAAACTTACTGATGTGCAGTTATTTTACCATGCTCCTTGGGAGCAGTATATTGCTACCTGCAAGGAATGTCCCAGAATGCTGGCAAACACACAGAAACCCACCATAAACATCAGGTAATAAGATTCCCAGCTCTCAACATAGAAAGCATTTCCAGTTCCTCAAGAGCCGTTTGCCTGCATCCAATGAGTTCCTGGCATTTCACTGCGTTCTAGAGGTTTCTTTTAACCAGCTCTGCCTTGCTTGCGTGAGGGGCATGAATAAGTAGAAAGGGTCCACGTTCTGATGAGCAGGTTTTCCTAGAAATCCTCTCCCCTTCAGTTGCTTATCTTGGACAGCTGATTCTCCCCAAGATCTCCAGGTAACTAAACAACCACTTTTTCTCCAGGAACAGAAAGGAACTATTCTGACCAGATACAGTACTTGTTGCATCCAAAACAGTCATTCTGAAGCTCAGGAAAGGTGTCACTTTTCTACCTTATACCCTTTAAAATAAAAAGCCTTTCAGAAAACCTCCAGAACTGCAATCCAGAACACAAGACCCGATTACAGTATTTAGGAAGCTTATGAGCTCTTGCAAACACTGTGGCACACTAGTTCCATTTGGAACCATGGGACATAGCAAGGCTGATATAGGTGAGATACGAATGCATGGAATAACACAACAGAAGCAAGAGTACAATAATATTCTGCTCCCATCTGAAATCAAGCATCCATATACAAGTAGCGAGCCAGGAACACTACGCGTTTCAGCCAGGGACATGAAAGCCAGGAACATCTAATACCCAAAGATAAAGGGAAGTGAAGAGACAAGACAAGACAAGGCTAAGTGGAATTCTTAAGCTGACATACCAGCAAAATTGAAACAAGTGTCATCATGAAACTCCAAGAGGGCAATTTTAACTCCCAGAGCATGCACCAGAAAAGGATGGCTATTGGGTAATTTGAGCAGAAAAAAAAACGCCTTTGTGCCATTAACTGTGGGGACGCAGATGACAAAAGCATGCGACAGAGGAAATGTTCTGCTTACCTGGACCTGATATTTCTCTATGAGCAGAGGAGAAGAGAAACATGCTCATTAGTATGGATCAAAAGCATTGGGTTTGTAGTACTGACTCACCACCTTCCATGGAAGCATGAGATGAATATGGTGGTTGGACAGCTAAGTTTATACAGGTGTAAGGAGAGAAGTCCCATAACATGGTGAATAGCAATGGGAGTACTGAGGAGCTCACAGCACCTTGGTAAGGCAGAGGAAGCTGCCCCCCTGATGCTGTCAGGGATGCCAGGACAGGAGCTGCTTAAGCACCCCCAGTCAAGACCAGAGAGCTCAATTACAAGAGAACTGCTATTACTGGAGATTTTAATTGTGAGAGTCATGCAAGACCTGACCACTACCACACCACACTGACAAGCCATTTAGGCTCTGCTGGAGGTTCAGAGATGGTCACTACATCTGCCTGGCAAACCCCCAAGCATGCCACACTAAGGGTGGGTGAGAAATGCTGTACCAGGGAGTTGAATGCACCTCTTCCTAAGAAAGATGCTCATAAAAGAAAGTGTTGCTTGTTCCCCATTCTCCCCATCTCACCCAGGTGGTTGCTGTGACATAGGCACTCTGGAGCTCTAGATCTGACTCAGGAGATGAATATGGATGGCCAAGGTTGACATTCAAAGGGGACAAAGTCAAAACTGCCTGCAGCCAGAGGGGAAGGGGTCAGGGGATGAAACAGAAATGGATCTCACTGAGCAAAATGGGTGAGTTCCAAGACCGATCACTGTCAGCAGGGCAAAGGCCACTGAAACAGTGGCAAAGGATCCCAAGATAGGCAGACATTGCTGTAATCGAAATAAATGATGAATGTTCGGGGACCTCCCTCACCTTGATTGCTTGTCCAAAAAATCCTTTTCCTAGTACTTCACCATGAATCAGGTCACAGGGCCGGAAGATTTGCTGGGAGCAGCTAGAAGAGGAACGTAGGGATTCAGAACGACTGATGTCACGGCTCAGAAGGAGCGGTTCCTTTGGAGAACTGGGGCCGGGAGACTTAGAAATGCTGTTACTGCGCCTAGGAAACAAAGGAGATGGGAAGATCAGGGAAGCTGCTAGGAAACTTTTGGTGCAACATATCCCATCATTAGCTCCTCAAGGGACCAGTTTCTAGATGTGCTTCAGTGCCCTTCATATCTCAAAAGCCAGATGCTCTCCCAGCACCATGGAAGCTCTTTACAAACCTAGAGCAGCTTCTAAGTCAGAGCTGCCTAACAGCAACACATCTCCTGCACTGTCAGTCAGAGGTGGAGCTCTGTGAACAGGAGGAGGAAGCTGTGAAGACACAGCTCTTGCTGTCTCTAAACAAAGATTAAAATAGTGGTAAATGACTAAATGAGCAACTGAGTGCCCCAGTCTAGGAAAATAAGATTTTTCCCAAATCCTAGGTCTCAGCCATATTCTCTTTAAGGACACATTCCTCCGCAGCCATTTAAGGCTGGTAAAAATCTGACCTTTACATTTTCTAACTGTAAAATGTAGCAGCTTTTCTGTGTTAAAAGTAGAGCTCCTTGTTTTTATTAAGGAAAGTTTGCCATCCTGAAAGGGAATGGATAGACTACATGTCAATAGCAGAATCTAAAGCTCTCTGCTGCTTCGCCAATGGTTTATACCAAGTTCATATCCGACATGAATCGTGCCTCTGCAGTCATTTGTAATCGCAGGGCCTAGGCAGGTAGCACAGGGCAAAGGCAAGCCAGGTCAGAGGCAGCGCTTCCAAGTCTTTACCTGAGGGAACGCCGTCGGAGTGTTCCTTCCAGATTCTCCTTGATGTCCAGTGGAGAGAGTGAGCGTGGGGAAATGGGCGGCTTTATGTGGGTGGGAAGACGGGAGTCCAAACGAAGCCTGTCTAAGCGCTGCGAGACAGGGTCATGCTCTATCAGCAGCTGAAGCGTCTGGCTTGTCTTGCGAATCAAGTCCTCCACCTGCAATCAAACCAAAGGACAGGATGGTAGCAGACAGGAGGAACGCAAATGACAGGAGATAGAGGAGACAGAGCAGAATGCCCCTCAGGAATCAGCATAGAGAGTTCAGTGAGATCACTCCATAGTTGTGGTTTAGTTGTGCACACCACAGCTGTCTACCAGACAAATCAAGCTAGCAATGCAAAAGTTCCTGATGCTATCCAAATTCTCTTCTTTCTGGTCAGCTACAAGTGACCAAACACTTTTTTTTTCTTTTTCTGAGAAATGTTCAAAAACTACACAAGTTTCCATCCTGAATAGTGCTGCAAGAAACAGCTTTGCAAAAGCTACATGGAGATTTATCTGAGAGATGTCTATAGTGCTCCTGATGTTCTCTTCAGCACCAACAGTAAATAAAACCCCTGTGTAGTGAAGGTAACGGTGGTCTCACTACACTCTCGCAGCATCACCTGGTATCTGTATAAAGCATTTACTTGTAAATACAGACATCAAATACTTATTTTGCAATGGGAAACTCATCCCGAGGATCAGATGAGCCTTTGTCTATTAGCAGTTGCCTCTCAAAGGATCAGAACAGTGGACTTTTCTAGCAATACATGAAGAGTCTTCACAGCCTCTCTGTCCTCTGAGATGTCACAGCCCTACACGTTTCTTGATACCTCCCTTCATGTTTGAACGCCACAAAATCAGAACGGCACCCTAATTGCATATCCATCTGTTACATTTTCCTCTTGAGCTGGAAGGGGTAGCAAAGCTTGTCTTCATGTTTATTCCTACGTCAGCATGAGTACTATGAGTGTACACACACTGTACATAGGGTGGGAGAACAGTGCTGAGAAACAGAAAAATTGTAGGAAGGCAGATGAGAAGGAGGCTTCAGAACAGAACTCTACCCACCTCCTCCACCTGTAATGTACGAATAGGAGCTCCATTAATCTCCAGGATACGATCTGCAGGGTGGATGGCGTTTCGGACATCTGGACTGATGTGCATCCTGTTAACTCTAAACATGGGAATTATAGCTTGTGTGTGAACTCAGTTTAGCCAAAATTATCAAAAATATTTGATCTCTGATGCTTCCCTTCATATTGGTATTTTGAAATAAAACAATACTAATCTACCAACACAGGGAGCTCCCATTAGACCAAGTGCTTAGGTCTGAGCTGGTTTAGGGAGAGCTCTTCATTTGCCCAATGGCAAAAAACATTAGTCCATTACAATTTTCCAAATGTTTTGTGTTCAGTGAAGGAGACAGCACTGAGAAATAAAGTTATCGGTTAAGGCTGTCACAAGAGCAAAATGGGGACCAAGCACAAATGGCTATTAGCCAACATATGTCCCTGTTTAAAGCAGCTGGCAGTACAGCAGTGCTGCAGAATTTTTACCAGCTCGCTCTGTGCAGACATGTACATTGCACACAACCTGGTCATACTCACTCTTTCACCTGGACACCAGTGGCATAGCTGGAGCAGCCACCTTCAACAGACACAGAGAACCCCCTCTTGCCATCAGTAGCTGCCGGCATGGAGATGAGGGTCAGCGTATAAGGCAGCTGCTCACGCAGAGACTCAGTGGAGTGTTTTTCTATCATCGGTGTCAGCACAATCTGGTTATGGCATTTTCCACTAAAAGAAGCAAAGAAAGTCATTATGGCAGTGTCCTATCCCTCCCTGCCAAACTCACACTTCTAGGTTCTCTCATTGACCATAAACTATAGTTTTTTGTGTTTCCGTGCTTACTCCATTCCTTCCTCCCCCCCTCAAAAGGCAGCTTCCTGGCATTCCTTCGTGTAGCATTCGGCTGAACCACACTGAGCTAGCTAAACATGGCTTACACATACAGCAGGGAGCAACTCTGCAGCCAAGCATGAAGCTCCGTCTTACCAGTAGAGCGTGGAATGTTGCACGAGTGCGTAAGTGTCCCCATCTTCAATGATCACTTTGCAGCTCATACAAGCAAAGCACTCAGGGTGATACTTGTATTCGCCAGCCACCTACAGACAGAAAAGGGAGTAGCTTAGTAGGGCCAAAACCCATCAGCAGATGCAGCTACTGCTTTCCTCTCTAATTAACATGTTCATTCAGATCTCAAAGTTAAGTGGCAGGTTTTTTACTGGAGAGTTACATTAGCCCATTCTACCTTTCCTGAACCCCATCCGTGGCACCTTGTTAGCAAAACTTCTCTGGAACAAACATGTCAACGTGCAAAGCGAAGCTTGTGTCCCAGGAATCTGTGCTATATTTGGCAACTGCTCAACTATCAAAAATAGTTGATAGTCTGCTGCAGACTAGTAAACAAGATATTAAACCTTCCTGTTCAGTTGCTCTTGGCAAGATAACTAACGTTACGCCTGAATTAATAAAGCTGAAAGGGCTTTTTTTTTTGGCAGACAGGCAATGCACTAATTCAGATACTTTACCAGCCAGCTGACAGAAGAAAAAAAAAAAGGCGAGCTGAGACTGAGACAACAAAATACCTTTAAAGAGTATTTTTATCCATTAATCTGTTTTTCTATTTTCCTTATGAGAACTTCCCTTATTGACAGTATTTTGCAAAGACTTTTGCAGGCAATGAGAAACTGTCTGCACTTTTCCCAGTACTTCCCTTTGAGGTAGCAATCATATTACTGAGTACCACGCTGCTTTTATTTAGGCCCTAGAAAAATAATGGTTATGTTTCATTAACAGTTTCAAAGGTTAAATATTTGCAAGGTTGTGGCAAGGAGAGGAACATTTAGGTGAGCCTCATTATCGTGCAGGCAGAGTTCAGTGTTCCAAAGCAGCTGGGGCTAACGCTACTTCAAGACACCATCAGCCAGAAAACCACTCTGGCCACAGTCCAGGTGGGACTTGGATGGCAACCTCCCTCAAAGCCAGAACCTGCTGCTTGTCCCGAGCTGAGAGGTTTGACTCTACAGTGCAGTGGAAAAATCACCCCATGGAGACACTGAGGCACTGTGCTACAGAAACTGAACAGATGTTCCCTTAATCACCTTTCTATTTCTCGTGCCTGTGCATTTCAGCACCTTACTTTCTTTGTTCACATGCTTCAGATCTTCACAACTCCCTCCTTTAAGAGCTACCCCTGTTCAAAATTAACCTCTATCTAGAAGATACACACACAAGCCTCATTTCCAATCTCTGATTAGAGATCAGAGTAGCAAAGAAACTATTACCTTCAGTTTATTTGGTTATCTGAATAGCTAGGGCAACTCCCAACCAAGTTTGAGGAGTTGGAGGCAGGCATGTCCTGGCTCCAGGCAGGAGCCCTTTAGAGTCCTTACCATCACAGGTCCAGTCATCAGCAGAGAGCAGCCATGGCAGGATTCCCCAAACTTCCCCCAGTAGTCTTTGTGACAGTACAGCTTCCCATCTTTCTCGTAGTACCAGTTAGTGAGGGGGTCCTGACATTCAGAGCACCTTGAAGGAAACAAAGGAACAAGGTTCCAGTTGACAAGTGACAGATCAATGGAAAAGCTCCTCTCCTGTATGGAGAAAACATTCGGCAGCAGCTCACCACCAGCTCTTCTAGCTACGGATGTACTAACCCCCTCCATTTCCCAATGCTTCTTCAACTGAAAATTAGCACCAAACCCAAGGTTTGTAAGGAAAGGTGGTATCCACCACCTCAAAGGAAAAGACAAGCTTCCAAAGTTTAAAACGAATCCCATCCATTTATTAAAACACATCAGTAGGTTTATAAATTTTGCTCCTCTGCTTTCTCCCTCCTCCTGGATGCAAGCTTCCAGCTGCAAAGTTGCCCAGTATGCAGACAGTGCTGCTACGTTTCCACTTTGTGTTTCTATAGCATCACACCATCTTGTGCCAGAGCACCCGTCTCCTCAGCCAGTTCAGGAAGGGGGACAGAGAAGCAGGATCCACTGCCCTATGCAACGCAAAGCCAGCTTTGCACCAAGCTTTGCAGAAAGAAAGCTTTTCTATTCTTCTGTAAGAAGACCTCTCCCAAAAGATCAACTGCAGCTCTATCCATTTAAGGGAGTTCTCAAAGCAGTTCATCCTTTGAGCTCCACATACTTTCTTCATCCAATTAATTGTGATGAAAGTCACTTCTCCCCACCAATTGCTCTCCCTTTCCTTCTGCTGATGATAGTGCATGAGAAAAAAAAACAAAACACGACCAATGAAAAAAAAACCCAAACAAAACTATTTCTCTAATTTCATGGAGTCTCAAAATCCTTCACATATCAGTGTCAGCTCCCATTTCAACAAGCAACCATTATTAATCCTCTACCTACACCCCCAAACAAACAACACCAGAAATAGCAGAACTCAGGTCTTCAGGCTTCCTGGACACAAAATAATACTGCCTCAGCAGGATGCACTGGACAAGGGAGTTTAACTTCTGTAGCACAGTGGTGTAACTTAATGGAGAGATAAGACACAGACAGCAGTTGCATCACTAAAGATTATTCCATTAGCCCTGGACAGCACGTTCTCAGACTTCAAAAGAAAAATTAGTCTGGTATTGGCCACTTCTGAGTGCAGAATCCAAGGCAGGTTATTCACCAATAACAGGTTCAAAGAAACACCGCAAGGATCAATGTGGCTGTCTGTATGATGCTTTCCCAAAGGTGGAAGAGTTTCTTCTGCCCCTTACCCCATCAACTGTCTCAGTTACTACACTGGAAGGGAACCCACTCCACCGGGGTGGGGGTTTAGGCGGGTGCGTGCCCTCCGGGACAGCAGGCCTCTCTGCAGCTAGTGTCAGCTAGTGGGAGTGGAGGTGCACTTTTTACATGCTCCCAGGTCCAAGATGAGAGCTCCTGTTGACTTCACCTTTCACAAGCTTCCTGAAAGCTTATTTGTGCCAAAGACATTCCTTGTAAACTCCACCAGCTTGTAATGAGCGTGATGATGTGAAGCTGGTCATGCTCCAACATGGAGAGAGTTATTTGCTCCATCTCAAGAAACTGCAAAGCAACACGGTGAAGCTGCTTGTAAGCAGCCTATGGTTTTAGGGGAAAACACACCTCATGAGGCACTTAGTGCCGTACCCTACCCTCAGGAAAGTTGTTCCTTCTAATGTATTTGGCTTTTATAGTGTTTGTTCTCCCAGCTGAGGAGCTCCAAACCCCCCCACCCCCCGCAAGTGATGGGAAAGAACTCCAGCACGTGCAACAGGCCCTGCCAATTTTGTCTGAGGCAGGGGGATCAGTAACTTAACATTGCTATACACGGCACATGCATTGTTACAGCCTCAGCCCTGGGGCACTGTCATGGTTACACCCTGCTCATGGTATGCAAGAGACTAGAGGGCATTGCAATGCATTTTGCTTCAACCACTAGCCTTTGGCTTTCATTTGCAGTAAATACCCCACGTTGAATGATCAAGTAGGTGAGTGGGAGGGAGAAAAGAGCAAGTGGAGACTAACAGCAAAGATTTCTATCACCTTGTGGCAGGAACATCTGGCTCAGCATGGGCAAATCGGATCCCTCAGACTTATCCGACTTCTGCATGCATGCCTGTACCAGTGCGTGCTCCGAGAGTGATTACATCTTCAAACAGGGAGCTGTGACCAGACCTGCACTTGGGATGAAGACAGCGATACTGGAGACTGCTCCACCAGGACTTCAAGACCTATCTTCCTAAGTTCTCTCCAAGCAGGTGGGTTATTTATTTATTTGTTTTTAAGCACAACACCTTCCCTTCCTCATCCCTCTTCAACTTCACCTTCAACCGCTCCTTTTTCTCCCTAAGAAAATCTAAAATTTCTGCAAGAGCAACACGACTGCAATTCTGTTTAGATAGGCTCCAGAGGATCACGTACACTTGTCTTCCCTTTACCTTTCCCCTACTTCTTCATTATTTGATTCCAGCCTTACAGCACTTTGATTAGTTTGCTTGCATCCGGAAATAAGCACTGGTTTCTAATTTGCAACACACCCATAGCAAAATGAAGGTGAGGGGGTGGAGCCAGTAAGCAGTCAGTTCTTTGCTATGCAATTAAACAAATCTGGGCAGGACAAGTTTGCAGCCTAGGGCTCCGAACCCCACCCAGGGCAATGAGGCAACAGGAACAAAGCAACCAGCCCCAGAGAGGCCAGATGCTGGTAATGGGTCTAACTGGCCACTTTGTTAATCACTGCTAGCAAGAGGACATGGCTATGGCCCATATTGCCAAGCAGCACCTTCTGTTACTTACCGTGCACTCGGTGATGCAGAAAAGGCTTTCAATTTGTCAGGTGCGGAGAACTGACAGCACACAGGTATAGTTTTAAGACTGTTTCAACGCCTTTGCCCAAATGAGAGAGGCTTCACATGATTGTTCCACGTGACTTTCATTGAAAAGTGATGTCAGAATTTGATCAAAGATACAAGAGTTACCACTCCTTCCGTTCTCTCCTCACCAAAGCGCGTGGCATTGCAGTGCTGTCGTTGCCAGGGCTCACATTAGCTGAGACGGGAATACAGTTACTTCTAGAGGTATTAAGCAAGGTAATCTTTGCCAGTCAAAAAAAAAAAAAAAAAAAAAGATTTCTTGCTCCTCTGTCTTTCATAGATTAAAAACCGCTAATCTTCTCCTAGATGATTTGCTATTCTTATTACAGAGTAACAAAGCATGGTAATCAAGTTTCTTGGAGGACTGGTAACAGCCACACTTGACATGTTTCCTCTTGCTGCCCTGCCACCATTTTCAGAGCTGCAGAGCCCTGCTCTGATAATACAGTCCCACACATTATAATTCTTCACTTCCCAGCCTTCGTTATAAAGAATAAATTAGTATGCCTCCCATAGCCATCCTCCAGGAACCCCAGGCAGCATCTGGGTGCAGGATTCAGGCCTGATGCTCTGTAGCACTGCAGGTGCAGAAAGAGTTCACAAATTGCTGCTTGATGGCTACTTGGTTTTGTGGGGGGCGGTAGGAGGATCAGGTCACAACAGGTAACCAACCTGGTTTTCAGCGAGATGGAGATTCAATTGATGTGGCATCTCTTTTACATCTAAATGAAAGCCAATACCCTCATGGAAGCAAAGACTTCCCTGGCAATGAGGAGACAGATCCCTTTGAGAAGGGCTCATTAATAACACCCACCCCCCCACACACTGTCAGGCTAGATCAGTTAACGCTAGGCAGGCTCGAAAGAGCTGCGGGTCCAATTCTGCAGGCAGAGTTGGGGAGAAGACAGTCACACAGACAGAAAGCTGCAGAATAAAACATAACCCCAGCCTGTAGCTAACCCAGAGGCTTCGCACCGGGAACTTAGCAGAAGCATGTGTGTACTGGCTACATAAGAGAAACTAGGCAAGGAAGAACAGATGCCAGAAAACAGACCAAGTACTAGAAGACAGTGTGTTTAAGCTCTAAGCCAAACTATTTCCACACACTTAGGAGAAGGTGTATCTACGGCTTAGCACGATGCCCTACACATACTACAAATAATGAATGCCTGCTCACTTTCCTTCTTCTGAAAGTGGATGCTGTTTCAGAAAGTTGCCTAAAGAAGCTTAGCAATTACACAGCAGTATTTCTCTCTATTCTAGACTGTTTTAACAAAAGGCTCCTTACTCCCAAATCAGTACAACAGTGTGTTTGCAGGAACAGGATCAATAACGAGCAAATCCGAGTGGAGGGGAATAGGAGGGAGACAATGAAACTGCAAGCCTTGCCTTTCCCTATCCATTCACCATATCAGCACCTCAGTGTCAGTCACCATGCTGGCTGTGTTCAGCCCCACTAAGAGTTTACACTATGGAGATGTAATGCAATCAAAGCCTTATTCTGTAACTATCAGCTTTCTCAAGCCTCATTCGTTCGATTGGACCAAGAATGGTTGTTAATATAAACAAAAACATCACAGGAGAAGAATCCTTTCCGTGTAAGGGAAGCATGCTGCTTGTCCCTAGTTACCTGCAAAGTACCTGCTTTATTTTCTCAACCAAGATTGTGCACTGCCTCGCTGCAGATTACATCACCTTCTTGAACTCCCAACAGCACACCTCACCTCACCCTGCGTTATGCCCAAGCACAAGCAGCTTTGGAAGAACCATAAGCAGCAGCCTTAGTAATCTCATTCCTCTGGCAGTGGCGCAAAGCACAGGGGCACGGGGTAAAGCAGCATACGCAGTGCTGCTCTGAAAGGGAGCCTGCTTGCCCGGACTACATAGACCCCACCTCACAACACAGGTGCTGCTCCCTCGTACCAGAGAGCTGCGAAGAGGCTGGTAATAAGAATCTTCCCCATCTCCTCCTCAGAGCAAGACAGGATCCCAGTTTGAGGCTGGCTGTTCCCTGCACACAAGCACTGGACCTCATCCTTCACGCCTTGCACGCTAACTGCTTAGGATAGCATTGCAGGGGGGAAACGACACTTGGAGATCCACTGCTAATCCCACGCAAGACTTACCGAAAGGGATCCTTGGGAGCAAAGTAAGCTGGGGCAGACAAGTAACTTCCCATCTTCAACACTGGATAAACCGGCTCAGCTACAAACTTGTCCAACTGCCTCTGAACAGCTCTGTTCTGCCAACATGGCAGCAGTCAGTGCTCATTTAATCTTGCGCTGATTCAGATACTTCACCTCTCTTTGAAGCTGCCCAAGGAATGCCAGGTCTCTTGGCTGCTCATCCCTTTTCAGATTTTTCCTGGCTCCCATGGCTATAACCATCTTCTCCTGCACTCAGCGGCACCCTTGGGAAGGATAGAATAACTGCTAACTGGGCTAGTTGGACATGCTTCTGCAACAGTTCTTGCGAGCTCTGCTGCCTGCTAACTATTGTCAAGTTTTCCCTTCTCTGGTTCCACCCAAGGGTGGGAGGGGAGGAGGAGCCATTGCAGGACAGCATGTGGCTACAGAGCTGAATCAGCTCTACTTCTTCACAAGGGGTGGAGCTCCGATCCAAAGAGGGGCTGCGTTACTAAGTGCTGAAAGAAAGCAGCTTTTGCTGAAGCAAGAGCCAAGTGTATGTGACACTACCCTTTGCAGCAGTGGGACATTCTGACTGGGAAGTCAAGGAATACGGAGGCTGACAAAGACAGCTGGCCACATCTCCAAACACATCAGTTTCATATTTACTACATACCTTCCTCGATCCCTCACGGTGAGCAGGGTTATACTACCTTCACAGTACCTCCTATCTGTTCATCCTCTTGTAGGAGGTAACTGACAATGGGCTTCATCCAAGGAAAAACAACTTTCTTTCCAACACGGTTTTAACAGAGATCATTGCAATCATTTAACCTAATCTTCATCTCCTGAAGGGAAGCTGAGAGGTATAAATCAGCACAAATGAGTACTCTCTCCTTGCAGCACATGTAGTTATATCATTTTGCTTGCTCTGAAGCCAAGCGTGATCTCTAGTGGCCTAATCAGCTAAAGCTGTTTGCAAGACACTCAGAAATGCAACAAACATATGCTGCTGTACCGAGCCCTCGCATTTTTGTACAGTCAGCAAAGCCTGGCATGCCTGAACACAGCCAGAAAATCATGCTATGTTCCAGAGGCAAGAGTACTCAAATGTGCTTTTACTGGAGATGCTCGCCTCAGCTGGCATGTTGTTCAAGGGACGCTTGGGGCTGGGACGAGGCAGTCTTGGCTGCAGATTTGACAGCTGCTGCTCACTGTTGAAGTAAGCAGAAAGCCAGGCATCCTTTTGCATTGGTTTTTTTTTATTTTTTGACTTTTAATAAACAGTCACATTTCTGACAAAAATAAATCCTCATTTTCACCCATTCAGTGCAGTTTCTAAGCCTGCCTGTAAAAGTGCAGCGAAGTCTAGTGCTGCAGAGCCCGATGTGGTTGTCAATTCCAGCACGGGTCTAATTCCTTCTGACATTTCACACAGCTCTACTGGAAGCAGCAACACGGTGAGTCTGTGTCTAGGAATGCACTCTGGTCTCCCACATTCTCTATATGTTGCGTCTGAAAATGGGCCAGCGCTCACAATCCAGTGCTTCCCTGGCTATCAGCACCACCCCACACCACACACATACCTCCCGTGCATTGCAGAGCCCCTCCCCTGCACAGTATCACCTACAGACAAAAGCTTTTCCCCACAATTCTGCTGCCATGGGCCGAACCCCCTCCAAGGGGGATTCCACGTGACCTCATAAATCCCAACTCTTCAGACAAAACCTTTGAAGATTTGATCCACAGATGTGATAAGCAGCCAGCTAGTCTGTGAATGAAGCCAGCAGATAAAGCCTAACTTCAAAGTAATAAAAACCACCCAGACAGCTAAGCAACTGGGAAGGGATTTTTGTTTGAGACTTCCTTAAAGCCAAAGGATACACAATCAAATGTCTATTTAAACAGGAAACATCTTATCAAAATGATTTTACTTTTGCAGCATGCAGCAGCCAGTATGTTACTTTTTCCTACACATAATTCTCTTGTTACTTCTTGTATTTTTTATTGTCTGTATGATCTGAGAACACAATAGCTCTGATAAAATGGCTCTAGAAAAGGTGTTAATGTGTTCATACATTCTAGATCTGAATTCCTGCCAGAATGACTGTGCTTAAAAAATGCTGATAAACAGGTGGTGGGGGATGACCTTTTCTATGTAATTTTACTGAGAGCATCTCCAAGGGCCAAAATCCACCGAAGCAAATTTCTGTTTCACCAACTGAAGTCAGATACCAGCATCTTCTCTCTTGCAAATGCTAACAGCATTTCCACTACAAACACGTAGCCATCACAGGGGGGTGCTTTCCTTACTACGATTTAGAATTGTACAGTAATTTTTTGCCAGAAAGAAGCCTGAAAAATATAACTAGCAAATAAAAAGGAATAAAGAACCTCCACAATGACTTAACATGAAATTTATTGCAAATTGAGTCACAGCTGTTACAGTTTTATTCCCACAGAAATGCATCACATAGCTATTGTGACATTCAAGTGATTAATAACTTAAACCAGCTAGGATTAGGCTGCACATCTAGACACCCTCTTTACCACACAGTTCATGCTGTCCAATACATGTCTACAGACAGATGTATTGCTCAACATATCGACCAGCCCTAAGATACACAAATTTATCCTGGCACAGACAGGCACTTTGGTATGTGTGGGACTAGTATAAGCTGGGGAAGAGGCATCTGCTTGATGCCCGAGGAGTCTGCAGCAAGTCTTTGTTTCGGCATGGGTGCAGTTTGGAGGTGTTCCAAATACTTCAGTACAATCCCAACACCTCATTGTATTTCCAAGGCACTTACACGTAACACGTGCTTTGCTGCTGTTGAAAGACAAGAGTCAGCTCCTGAAACTAATACCATTTCAATATGCACGTACCTCTGAGTGAAACATCTTGCACACAGCTCTCGAGTAAACTGAAACGAACAGTGAAGCGAAGCTCATCTCCATTACCACACCTTACTTTTAAGCAGCAGAACTTCAGACCAACACAGTGATGCTTTCTCAGTATCTAACATCACTAAGCCCAACATTAAGATGGAGATGGATTTTTTTTTTTTTTATCTCCACCATACTTGCCTAATGGCTGCAGACCTCCTGAATACATGTAGGCCGAGAAGCAAAGCAAAGAAATTCAACCTACTGAAACTTCACAGATTATATATGGTTTTGGAAGCAGTCACTTCTGATCTGTAAATGCAGCGCAGATGGCAATAAGACTGGCACTTACACCGCTGCATCTCCACTGGCTTCCTAATTTGCTGCTTTTGTCTGTTCAAACCACTAAACTCCTCAAGGAAGGATCCCATCTCACTTCTGTGGAAAGCCTAACATATACTGGGCTGTGTGAGTAATTCTAATTACCTGGATATAATAATGCTCTGATAACAATGCCCTAAAGGACAAGCTGCACAAGTCAACTAAAAAAAGCTGGGACTGGAATGCCCAACTCCTCCTTAATTATAAAAGGTCATCCATTGATGTCCTGTAACTGAAAGATTCCCTTGAGGAATGTCACTGCTTCCACCTGCAAAGTGCTTCATTGTTCCTTTGGATTTTTAAACTCCTGAACAATAATGGTGATCTGTGTACAAACAGGCACTTTGCAGCTATTTCTCCCTAAATCTGATAGGGGCTGGCGAATTTCAATGCTGGTGGAGACACCATCAAAGGGACATTCCCAGGAGTCCACAGGATTAGTGAAGAGCTCTCACCTCTGAGGCCTGATCATTAGCTTTCTGTAACTGCCAGAAACCAGAGAAGACAGGGAAAAAGAGGAGATCCTTGTCTTCCTGCTTCCACTATAATTCCACTGCCTTCTCTTACTACTGATCCTTCCCCTGCTCGCAAATTCAGCCGCTGTGTGTACAAACCTGGTTGTGTTTACAGCCAGAAAGCTAAAGGAAGATTCAAAGCATCAAACATCCCCACATTTCAAAGTCACCTTAATACACGCCTTCGCTTACATTTTTATTTGTCAACATTTGTATATTGGAGCTTCATATCCTGTCACTGTAGATCTATTTGTCCTGATGCTGGTTTCAAACAGGAAAAGGTTACTTGAATAACAGACGGGGGAAAAAAGCTTGTTTTCCAGCTTTTAAATCAGAAGAAACTGATTTAAATTGCAACAAGGGGGATTTCTAAAGATCATAGACAGAAGCTTCTAACACTAAGGATAATTAGGTGCTAGCAGACCTAGTCTGGGAGACCAAAAACCTGCAGCAATGGGAGATTGTTAGGTGACCAGCTTCTTAATCATTCCTATGTCATAGAAATTACTTGCTTCAAACATAAGTTGAAGTTCAGTAGATATCCCAAGAACCACAGAAAACAGATTTGGAAAATACCCTCAGAAGTCATCTAGTTTATCCTGCAAGCCTTAAACCAGCTTCAACTAACTATATACATTCTTAATACAAGTTTGCCTGGCTTGCCTTCCACAGCCCCCAAATGTAAGAAGAATCAAGGTAATTCACTAAGTTTTGCTGAGCAAAATATATTTCTATAGCAAAAAATGTGTCATTCAGTATAGAAAAAAATCACATCTTCGTAAGAAAAATCACTAGAGTTGGCAAAAAATTAATAGTGCTTCTCTTTCCATGCAGTAGCCTGGAGCTTAGGGCATCCCCTCAATGCTAATCTGGTTCTGTTTCCTGACCACGGACAATTGTCACGCTGCAGAGTGCGCACAATGGGCGGGTGACGAGGGATTCTGGGAAGAATCTACTTTTAACCTTGTTCCACTACCGAGAAACAGTCAGGAGGAGAATTTGTTTCAAATTCACTTCAGAATACCAGTAGGAGACAGAGCCAGGAGTTCTGCTGCACTCTGCCAAAACTGTTCCATTTTTTCAAGGTATTCATTTAGAGAAAACAGCTTTCTGGTGGTTACAACACTCCCTGTGTTTAGTTTCTATGTCCAGTAAAGGTTAACAGAAACTGAAATGGAGAAACACATTCAGAAAGAGTGCAAGCACCTGAACCCTAAACAATCTGTCAGGTGAACTGATTGAACTTTAGGTAATACGGCAATTTTTATTGTGATTTAAACAAATACATTTTATTACTTTAGGGTTTTGGGGTTTTTTACA